CCTGCACACATGGCTTGTATCAATTTGTCAACACTTACCATAATCCTCGTCATTCAGCGATAGATTATGCATAGACGTCTCCAAATCTTCCTCTGAACCCGACCAGATGCTTTTTAAGTCTTGCAAAGGCAAGCTCTCGTCCAAATCTTCGCTCATTATCAAAATTTATGCATTTGCCGAGAAATGGACAGATTTGCCAAGAAACAGACACAATATTTCACAGTCCCTAACAAAACGCCTCGGGGCATTCACATGGTCCTTTGCGTTAGAAGCAGTGTTAGGGACTGTGGAAGAGTCAGATGTTTCCTGACAAAACAAGAAACGTCTACTATTATTTAAGGTGTATTTTTCCTTGTACAGTATTTATATTAATGTAGTGCAGACGTCTGACGAAATACTACGCGTATTGCATTGTAGTAATATTTTAATTTACAATATTCTATACTGATCGACCAATAAAAGCAAGACAAACAATTAAATGAAACTACTAAATTAATTTAGGCCCTGTTCTAAAATTTAATAGCTCTACGCCTACGCCGATGTAGTCTCTACAACTGTACAAGATTCGTCACGCCACCGAGTTTTACAGTTTCAGAATACCCCGAATACTTGAAAAGTGCGACTATACGATAAAATAAAACAAAGATTGTGAAGGGGATAAAATTTGTAGGCAAGCATTGCTCCTGAACGGCAAGTGCTGGTGTCCGGCGAAACAAGCGAATCCGTATATTCCTGTACAGCGTAAACAGGTTACCCTAGGTTTTATATTTGTGTTTATTTATATCAAACTAAGTCAGATCTATAAGAGCATATTTAAACTAAATATTAAAGGCAATAGCCAATATTGTTCAAGACGAGAGAAAGCAAATTTCGTGTTAATCACCACTTACATGGAGACGCCTAGATGAAGCTTGGATGCAGCTTTGCCTGTGGTTGAATATCTCCAGAAATATCGGTATATCTTAGAAAACATAGACGGGGTCTTACCAAATTTTTGTTTTAAACGTTTAAAACAAAATAAAATACTGGAAATAATAGATATCTGTTTGTTTACGTAATTCGACGCAGTATATCGCCATATAGCAACAGATAATTTACCGATATTATCATATTTCACTCCGTTTGCAGTAGATGAGTCACGCCGTGAGTCACGCCGTGAATCGCGCTTGTCAGGCTCGGTCAATCAGCGTGCGGTCGAATCCTTTTGGAGGTATATAGGGGTAGGGGTTTTCTAGTTTCAAACTACTTGCTTGACACCGTCACAGCACAATAAAAAGATATATGACATATTAAAAGCAAATATGTCGTATAATCTCAGATATATAGGATACGACATAAAATATGTTTCAAATTGTCGATAAATATTTTTGCACAGTAAAATATAAAGGATTCCTGCTTTTCAAGTTAAACACAAAATTTTGTTCCTCTTTAGTTCTCAGGAGACGACTTTTTAAATATTTCATCTTTTGAAATATAAAAAAGTTTGCCAGACCATTCTTTTAAAAAGCATTATTTGCCAGATATTGAGTCAGATTTACCGGTCAACCAGCCAATCAGAAAGCGCGAAAGTTAATTTGGTGTGCAAAATTTACACTAACTGCCAGCCTAGTCCCAGGCTCTCTCTCTCTATTCGCTGCTTTGATATATTTAAATAAGTCTTAAAAGTTTTATGCCTGGGTGTGCTGTGCGGAACGCTTCAGCGAGAGAGCCTAGCAGATTTCGGTAAAATGGTCCCTGATTTCAAAAAAGTGGTCCCTGGCCTGGTTACCAAGCATACCTCATTTGTAAATGGAAAATGTTATGGAAATTTCCTTTGCATTTATAACTAAGTCATTAGTTTTGCTCTAATGCTGTCGGAACAATGAAATAGGCTACGTTTCGCTGCCATACGATCAGAATGGAATAACGGGCTAAACATGACTCGTGTTTACTAAAATATATAGCCATATTAAATGCTATCTAAAAGCTTGAAAATTATGCCGAGTCTCCGACTAAAAATGTTGTGACAACACATGTTAGGCAAATATTTCCAATCTCCTCAGTAATTTAAACCTGTCAAGTAGAAAGCGTAGTTGTGTATACCAGTATGGTCTAGTGTTGATCACAATTTAACTTGCGAGTATATAAATAACATCAACGATTGCTCAAACTCAGTATCGTAAATTTGTATATAAATTTTTTTAGTTGAGCACATTTTAATACAGTTTGATTTGGTTATGTAGACATCGAACACCATATTAAAAATACTGAAATCTGCTAGGCGTTCTGAAGCACCTTGAGCGGTGACGTCACACCTAGGTCCCAGTCTCGTACTACATCCACTTTTTTCTTGCGCTTGCTTCAGAACGACTGGGACTAGGCTGACCAACTGCCATTAATTCTGATGAATACCTACATAAGTTTTGTAACAATTCCTTAACTTAATGAGATATGTCATTTAGATAAATATATATCGTACATTAAACGTTGTACTGTTTACTGTATATTAACTGCTGACAATTTCGTCGTCGATACGGCTTCCACTATTGGCACACTCGTGATTTCGAAGAAATTAATAAATACTTGCTCATTTATCATTTATTTAGACCACAGTTAGTAAAATTTTAAACGTATTCGGTATTCCAAATCCCAATCTATCTGACCGTATTTTAGTAATAGCTTCAAAATATTCAGAACATTGTTCTTTCAGTCGCACATAGTACAAGTATATCTAATTATCCTCTCATTTTTTCCAACAATTTGCTTTCGCATCAATTCATGCACGATACATGTATTATACAGGGTGTATAAAAAAAAACTATTTGTATCCGGCTTTTTATACATATAGCTTCTTAAGGTACTTATAATGTAGAATAATGAAAAAATATTCTCAAACTCAAATTTTGTGAACCAGGGGGGGGGGGGCTGTGATCATATTTTGAGTTAATAGATGGAAACTTTGTTGGGATTTTTATTACTGTACAAAATTTCAGACAATTTGGTTGAGTTTAAGCCCTTTAACTATTCATTTTATTATAAAAATCAGCCTTTCGCATGCTTAATTAATGCCTTTACCTAATTTTTGGGGTTATGGTAGGACAAATGTTGCATTGCAAAGTAGTAACACATAATATATATTTTTTAATCATATATGGTTGAATCATATTCACCACGGTAGAACATAATGAGCTATATTAAACAGATTGTCCTAATATCTAACTTTACCTGCAACGCACACCTGTTTTATTGCTGTTAATTTCTCAATCCACACTGGGGGGGGGGGTGCAAAAAAGTTATATTTTTATGAGGGGGGCACAAAAAGTTTGCCTTCAGTCTGGAATGGTGTCAAAAAAGTTTCCACTCCTTATTCTCCCCATTTACAATCCCCCCCCCCCACTCCCCATAAATAATGACCACCCCCTGAACTATAAACTGCTTTTTCCGATAAACTGTTTTCACTTTATAATACAAAATAAGTTCAAATTGTTGAGTAATTTCAGTTCTGTTTTCCGATTAATTTGCTCTCCTTTACATTTTACCTTTTTTTTTTAAATTAAACTGCCCTGAGGATATAATTTAGCAAACTTCAATACAGCTTCATTGAAAAGGAAAGCAGTGCATGTTTTACGCAATAAATTAAAGCAACTAAATTCATAAACATTAAACATTCAAAGCAAACTTGCCCTATATTCCACGATTTTCCACAGTAAATCAATTCTTCTCATTTCTTCAAACTAAAATTGCTTCAAAGCTCATTGTGTGAAACGTGATTTTCCAAATATATGCTTTTGAAAATTGAAATCTTGTTTATTCCACTCGTGGCAGGCAGCCATATTTTGAGATCAGTGAGGATGACCACCCACGGTTGGTGAACCACGCCCGCGATCATTGATGAACTTTAGACTTTGCTAATGCTTCCCTTTCCTCGGGTGTAAATAGCCGAGCGGAATTGGTACCCTCGCCCCGGGCTAACGCCCGGAACGACGATCCGCGCAGTTGGCTTGGGGAATATTTCTTTTCCCAAAATTGTTAGGGACCGAGGGGCCGTGCAGTGAGCGGACTCAAAAATGCTATTGGTTGAAATCATAATGTTGCCAAAATACGCATAAATATATGGAACCGTCTGTGGCGCAATGTTTATACGCTTTCAATAAAAGCGTATAATTTTGAAAGAGTACTGTGAATTTGGATTTTAAAACTAAAAACTGAACAGCTGCAAATCGTTGAGATGTTTTAGCTGCCTTGACAAGTCGAAGAGCATGGATACAAACCCATGCAGGTGTTGGTATTTCTCTAAATAATACAGTCGTAGCTATATACCCAATCAATTTGAAATACTGATTGACAAATCCTATTAAAGTTTGGAATACATGTCGCTTGATGTATTTATGAAACTTATTACTCAATCTGCAAACGTTGCTTTTATGTTATTATGATCATAAGTTTTACAGCAGACTACAAACTACAGTACAGTGCAATTTACAGTAGCTTGTATTGTGATATATTTTTAGAGTTAAGAGTTTGTTATTGTCAACTGTAAACGTTTGTACTGTTCAGCCGTTGCAATTTTGAAACATATATTCGCTCACAGCTGATCATATTTTGTATGATTTTGAAATTTATTGTAATGTTTGGCCCTAAGATGGCATTGTCTTCGTTTTGATATAAATATATTTTTGAGTTCGCTGATTATTAATACGTAAAATAGTCAGTGTTGAGTAACGGCATGTAAACTGTTTATCAAGTCAAAATGTTTTGTTCTAGTAAATTGTATGACATACTAATGTACCAAACCGACAAAACCGGTGTAAGTCTGTTTTATTTATTCCAAAAGTAATTTAAACTGCCAATTTTTTTAAAAGTTTGAATTCTCGAGCTACTCTATATGAACTACAATAGTAATTGCTGCCGAAGGCAGCCTCCTATTCTTATCGCGCATTTGAATTTCCCGCTAACAGTTTTATAAACTTGAAGTGTATCTCGATTTTGTGTCGTTCAAGTGTTTGTCGGCAGTTGTGACGTCAAATTATGACGTAGCAGTAAGGAATTTACATTGGAGCATTATCATTATCATTATCGAGCATTATCATTGGAGCATTATCAATCGATGACTACCGAATACTTTGTTTAGCGACTGCGAACGACATACCAAGTATGCCGTTTACAGGTAAACTACGTGAAGCGTTCCTCTTTTGAGTCTCTAAATTGATTGCAATTTTCCTCATCACTTTAGCAATTTAAAAAACTCCCTTGCAAATCCCTTGAGGAAATTTGCAATGTTGCTAAAAGCCAATAAAATTTTCCTCAGTTCCTGTTAGAAGTTCTTAACTTCCTGTTAGAAGTTCCTAACTTCCTGAGTTTTTCAAATTTGCAAAGCTAATGAGGAAAATTCCAAATGAGTTACGAAGTCAAAAGACGAACTCTTCACGTAGTTTACCTGTAATACTATTTCGATCAGCGTTCAGCAAGCTTTGTAGCATTTAACACGAGGTCATGCAGGAGCGAAGCAAAGACATACTTTGTATAAATACTGGCCTTATATTCAAGTTTTGTGAGAAAGGGAGATCGTTTAGAGGTAGGTCAATTTGATCGATATTTTTCTTTTCGTCTAAGCTCAATTCACAGCGCGAATTATATATATATATATATACAGGGTGTATAAAAAAAAGCGCAATCCTCGACTGAAATGTAAATTGCTAAACAAATAATAGACGAAAACGTTAAAGTTTACATTCATTTTAAAGCGTAGCCATTCAGCTTTCTAACAGTGGGTTGTTTCATAAAATTTAACTCATTGGTTTGCGGGTAATAATACTTTACGTTATTGCGATTGGAGATTAAAAAAATTGAAATATGGAATAACAAATCGTTCTCATGAAAATAACTGATTTTTTCATTAAAACAAAAAAATGTTGCATTTTATTAAATGGATTGTAACAATAAGTATAATTACGGCTTTTCTTCCACTATGGTTTTCCAGATGTAGTGACGACAACATTAAAGTTTAAAGAAGAAAATTCTAACATTTAAACCGACTGAACAATAACATAGTAAACTTGCATAATTAAACAGCAACTAAAAATGATAGGTTTTACTAAATCTTTTCCTGTGCAATTATTACTAGCATTGGAGACAAGGATAATGGTTTGTTTGAAAGAGAAAAGAACAGGCTTTGAAGTAAGCCTAAAAGCGTTTAACTAGAAATAGTATTTCGAAAGTTATTAAGCACAAAAAATGAATTGCGTTTATTTTGATACACCCTGTATATGTACATGATGAACGTACA